GTAATGATCTGTCCTACTTGCGCTAACAACTTTTGTTAAACAGAGTTATTATGTAAGATTTTTACGAACCTGATCTGCGTCGAGTATGTAATTAATATTAATCTAACACGTCATCTATCTTCTTCTTTAAGCTTAAGTTGGTTGTCGTAATAATAACAATCATAATAATAGTGATCCTTTTTGTATTATGTATGAAAAGACAATCCAAAAATTGGTCGTATTATTATTATATTAGCCAAAGATCATGTTACAGTAATATGAAGCATATCTTTGGAAGACCACCAAGTTCCGAGAATATTACCACGTTCAAAGTCGCGACTCGTTCGTATCATTATGATGTAAATGTCTTAATGTTTGCAGTCTTTTACGATACTAGTTTTAGAATACATTTAAATAAACCTTCCAATCAGTCCCATAGCACGACTTTCTTGGATACTAAACAGAATGCATGGAATTAATATAAGAGAAAACTGACGTCATTCTGACCGGCCGGATTGTACGAGTGCATCCCTTTCTAAAAACCAGATACCGCTTTTCGACATTATCTTTTGATACGTAATATTATGGCGTAACTAATTAGGCTTGAGAAAGTCAAACCTTGCTCTTACAATAAACCGTAACTTTCTCCCTTGGGATTTGGAGGGAGATAAGCACCGATTGGCATGACAGGCAGATAATTACTGAATGCGCAGTGTTTCCTGTGTTTGCTGTGTTTGATGAAAACCGTTGAAAATCGGTACCATTGTGAGGTAATCGATAATTTATTAGCTCAAGCATAGTCTATAGGATAGAATTCACGAAAACCCACCAGGCCAGGACCAAACATTAAGTCTCTATTAAGAATAGCCGGATACATAGTAAATATTTTATAATGAATACTATCTAGTTGATAAAAGTAACGTAATATCTAAGAGTCGGAGCATCATCCCGAAAACTGCCTACTAGAGATTGGTTCATTCCGTGCCATTATCAACTTCATTTTGTCCATTATGCCACAGTACCAGACCAAACCATTGACGCTGAATAAATTCCTTGAATGATAATAACCACTGTTCAGAACGAGATGATTGAGGCATCTTTGATTCCAGAATCTCAATCTATTTTGATCAGATGGCATGATTATCAGAACGATTATAGCAGATGAGAAACGCCCTCCCCCTACAATCAACAATCCCCCCTCTCCTCTTCCGTAATACTTACATTCAAACAGTATGTAACAATAAACTCTTCAATTTCATTTAATTTGAAATCAAGCGTCTCGTCCTTGTAACTTATATTTGACTTGCTAGAATTGACGCGTGATTTTACCGACATGGCCACCGACTTTTGCTTTTCCAGAATGGCGTACGCACTTTGTTCAGTCATCTATGATTAACAATTTTGTTTTGTTTTTTTTCGATTAATCGCGGATAGATTCCCAGTCTTTAGATTAAACCCAACTAACTACTCACCTTGTACTCTTTCTGCTTTATCTCATAAGCGTCAGCCAGCTTTTTTATCTGTTCTTTATACATCTCGGCAACCTCCTCCAACTTGCTCTTTAAACTCTTTAATTCTACTTCTCTTTGTTCTAGACTATCATAGAGCTCGTATGTTTTAATGTCGACGACAACCGGCTTTATATGTAAAAGTTCATCCTTTGCACGCATGTCAGCAAATGATTTTACTTTTCGCAACGTCTTTTTTTGTGATGGTGTTTCGATGCTGAATGAATGACGACGTTGTAAAACGTTGCCAGAGACCTCATCACGAGTATGGACAGAAGATTTAGGAAAGACGGAAACGGAATCGGCATCGACTTTATCGTCTATGTGTGGGACACGTGTCGAAGGAAAGTTTTGAAAATGTTTCACCCTTTTGCGGTGCTTTGGCTTTGATGATGGACTATGGGTGTTGGACATGGACAGTGGCAAAACATGTCAGAATTGTGGGGATAAAACGTAAGATTGATAGATAAATGAATTGACATACTTTAATAATCGGCCGGAACTAAATTCTGGTAGAAAAGAAGGCGATTTGGGCATCCCGGGCCAACGTCTTAAATCTCTTTCTATCGGTATTTTATCGACTAAATTTGATAGTGATCTTTAAAGACAAAAAATTAATCATTTGTAATTTTAATATTTGCGTCAACACAATTCAATCTTACCCAGTAACACCGTCCTTGAAACCTCGAATTACGTCTCCTGTCTTGGCCTATTAACAAATATCTTTAGAAGTTTGACTCTGTGACAGATTGATATACTTGAAATGACCAAATTACCGTGCGTCCCGACACCCCTCGAAGAATGCTTTTGCCAAGTTCTTTTCCCTCATGAAACCAATCGTCAGCCTGTTGTGATTGCTTTACTCTGCCTCTCCATAGATATTCCAGTCGTTCAATGTGAACTTGCCTAGCAAATTCATCAATGTCTGTAGTGAATACGTCCACTTGCTGGTTTAAGAGACCTAAAATAAAAGTTTCCATAAGAGCTTGAAAAGAATAGGTGCGCATTCAACAGACATTATAAACCTGGTTCTAATTTTGATTTCAACACCTGGTTGTTTAAATTGAAAAATTTTTTTTAGTACAAATCCATAGACTATAATGCCGAACGCAACAACATTATTATACCTTGTGAACCTTTAGAGCATCGGGAAATCGCTCTTTTTCAGAGATCTTGGAAATTTCGTTAAGCGTATACGTATCCAAAAAGCGCGTTATGCAAATCTTTGCTGATTTCTTGCAAGGGCATATCAAGGGATCTGTCAGAAAATGTCATCAGTCATGTTTAAAGCTTTGCAGAAATAATACCTGAAATAATTCTATTGCTGTTATCAAGTTGTCTGGTTCAGAAAAGGGATCCTTGGCTACCTAAATAAGAAAAAAAGTTCAAGTTTTGCGTGTAAACAAGACGAAAGAAAAATACTTTTATGCATTTACCTGATATCCTAATGAATTCAATTTGTTTCTAATAATTATGACCAGACTTAATAATCCAGCGACGAGATTAGGATCAAGTATGTTTGGATTCAATGCGTTATCTCTAATCTAGTGAGATAGAGATTCGTATATGTGTGTAATTAACTTTTCTCGTAATTAATTTCTTGAATGCTTTTCAGAATATTCTCGAACCTGTAAAATATGAGCAAATTTCGTTTTAAAAGTGGCAAGTGCATTTTGGGTGGTATCACATAGCAAACCGTCGAGGTGCTGTTTAGGAAATAAACCAAAGAAAAGTAGAGCAGTCTGCACAAGCGTGACCAATTCTAGAACAGCGCCTTCAAAGGTAATCTGCTCTGATTTTTTAATCTGATAAAGTTGGATGAACTTGTTTTGTTGTACATCACTAATAACAAAATCAATATAAAAAACCACCACCACATCATCACCACATCACCACCAAAAAAATAATTAATCATAAAAATTATATAACAAAGGGTATCACTGATTTGTCGAAACAACTTACGTCGGTTTCTTCAACAACATCGCACCTCGCCCGCTGCACCCGACTTTTCTCAAATTCAGATTTACATAAAAGTACATTTTCTGTCCCTCGAAATCACCATCAGGGACAAGCACGGTATTCAAGGCCGGTGGAAATGTGTTTAGATTGGTAACCATTATTGTTCCTAGTTCGGTCTTGGAAGAAATATAATAAATTGTTCTGAAAATGCGAACGGATCCCGGAAAGATGATTTCATAATTGCATTCTTACATTCTTGGGTCTTGCCAAGTCGGTTTTAAGGCTCTCGAAAAGCCTCTCCAATTCTCTATCATATGAATTTGGTGTGTCTTCGGGGACGCTGAGAATCCATGCCTTGGCCTTGTGTACAATAAATAGTTCATCATCAACCACGATTGACGGCAGAAAGATACATTCCCATCATAGATTATATAATTGTCATTACTTTGTGTGATGTATCACCTGTGAACACGGTAACGGTGTTGTATGGTCTCTTCCTGTCAGATACCCTATTGCGACGTGTAAAAAAGTGATTACGATTTATCCTCTGCTGATAAAAAGCCTTAAATATCGGGGCCGTACCATTGCTCGACTATGTAAACCTGGTATCCTTCTAATAGCCGTTCAGATTCTCTAATGTTCAAATCACTGGCCAAGTTCTTGAGGCCTTCATATTCGCAAAAGACATAGTCCTTGACAACCATGGAGGCTTGAGAAAATTCGATTTTCCATGCCCTGGAACTGGTAGTGGTATAATAGCTTTTGCTAATCGATTATTACCTATTTAGTACTAAGCACAAATTGCCAATCGGGCTAAAAACTTTAACCCCTAATACTAACGTTACACTACGATTTATCTGCAACACAATGAACTTAATTGACGTAATAATTTCCTAATTTGGTAAGATTTTAAGGAATAACCAGAAGATCCGATCATGTAATACAGATTTGGAATAAGAATGTTATTTACGTGCACACAGCGAATTCTTAACATGTATTTTTTGTAAACAATTACTTTAAGCGGTTAATTCACTGGTACGATTAACAAAGAGTTGCGCGCATTTCATTCTTTTGACCGACCGCTTGTATCTTTCCCGGTTACAAGTTTTTTAATTGAATTTAAAAAATTATGTGTATTAAACTTCGAATTATCATCTCCATGTTATTATCATCAGTCCTTCGTTTCAGCGGTATTAATATTAATTATCGTAAACACTAACAGCCTTTGAACGATGCCGCTAGACATCGGATTACCTTTTACTGCAAAATTTATAAGGCGTTCCCAAAAGCAAAACGCACTCTATTCCTTGTCAAAGTGTGCATGAACAATTATCAGCACACGCACACTATTAACAATACCGTATTACCCTACTGTTTGTCAAAGTTTCTATAAAATCCGCTTTATAATGTACTAACAATCACAAATGACAATCAAGTAAGAATAGTAAATGACAAACACAATAAAAATAACAATGACAACCGCATTAAGAATAGCAATGACAATGACATTAGTAAAATACATGTCCTAGACTCTATTTTCGCGACTTGACTTTATTAATGAAAGGGTCCTATTTCATGGCACTCCCGTGCTATGTGTCCGGGCTGACAAATGCAAAACAAGATATATCAGAAAAAAAAACGCAAGATCAATCAACAATAACCTGAACTCACCTTCCCACATCGGAAACATCCCGCTGGTTTCTTGTCTTTAGGGCCAATCTCATTACGCTGATAAGTATAGCTTTTCTGCTTACGGTATTGATCAAAGATATCATTGTCGTCTCCCTGAAGACCAACTCCGAGATATTTCTGTTCGCCATATCTGACTTCGCCGCCTTTAATGGGCTCTACTATCCCACCAGAAGAAGACCCAAGTCCAGTACCAGTACCTCCCCAACCTACAAGATTGTGTGAATTAAAAGATACTATCAAACAACATACAAAAAGCATTCATCAACGTACCAAGTTTCTTTAGCATTTGGAATCCAACATTTTTGTCAGATATCATCTTATCCGATCGTGCTCCTTCTTCTGGTGTCGCATAAAATCCTAGACCACTCGCTTGCTTAACGGGCGACCGTGATCGAGACCGACTGTAAGACCTACTACGATAGCGCCTTCGGGGTGATGATCGATAGTCACGCGAAAGACGCCGCTCACGACTGTAACTTCTACTCCGACTCTTTCCAAACGATCGCGACCTCGACCTGGATCTCGACCTCGAATCAGATATGGATCTAGATCGAGAGCTGGAAACTGCTCTTGTTCGTGACCTAGAGCGAGAAAAGTACTTTCTCGAACGCGACCTAGAAGATCTTGATCTCGACTTTGACGGCAGCGGCGAACGATGTCTTTTCGATCTCTGTAGCGACCGTCCTCGACTTCCGTAACGATCTCTCGAACTGGAATCTGATCTGCTCCTACTCTGACTTCTACTCCGACTACTACTTCTATAACGTCCGCGTTCTTTTGACAGACTTCGGCTCCTGGAAGAGTCCGAATAGCTGTGCCTCCGACGTCGCCCGGAACGAGACTGCGAGCGGGAAGAGGACCTTGATCGTGACGACCGTGATCTACTGTAACTCCGTTCACGAGACCGCCGTTTACCGTGACCGTCGCGGTTGTGTCGATATGAGGAATGACGAGTTTTTTCGGCTGTTGCTCTTGCTTCTTCTCGTGCTTTTGCCGCCTCGGCCCTTCGGGCTTCAATGGATTTGTAGTGATCATCGAGAAAACCAATTTCCCAGCCGTCTTTATCAAGTTCGGTCTTTGGGTTATCTGTTCCAGACATGGCATCATCACTTTTAACATCTTTGGTAGTACTTTCGATCTGTTGAATACCTTCGTAAAATTTATCCACTGCCTCTAGTAGTTCTGGAGTTGGTTGTGGTCGATGAGGTGGAATGCGAACATCCGCTGCGCGAATAGTAGTATAAGGAGCATTCTCGGGCTGAGAGCGTCAGGCAATTATGCGTAAGTAAGGGAATAATAATTTCATGGTGTGTTTGGTTGTACGGAGCTTTCTTACCGAAGTCAGAGGGACCATAAGTCCTGCCGGCAGTTCGTGATACTTTTTCTCGGGTGCTGGAGGCGGTAAAGGTGCAGTAACAGGCGGCCGTGGAATTATTCCTTGTATTGGCATTGGTGGCGAATGATTTGGGGGAAACTGTGTGGGTATTCCAGGAGGACCAGGATCCGAAAGATTTCTCAGCGGGGTTGCTACGGATGTAGGGATATGTGGTACAGACTGAGGCATCGGTTGCGGTGGACCATGAAATATTGCGGGAGGGGGATGGTTCGGTCCATAATAGGGCGGTACAGTAGGTTGGTTCGGATAGTGCACTGGAGGAAATGCGTGTGGATTGGTCGGGTGTATTGGCGGTGGAGCGAGAATGCCCTCTCTGAGGGAAATGATTTTCGCTTCGTCAAAGTATCGTTTGTCTCCCCATATAGATATTACCTAAGATTAATAAGTGAACCAGTTAAATTCAGATCATCTTTCATATTGCAGTCTGTAGTACATGACTTACCTTTAAGACTTTATCTCGTTGGACATCTTTATTATCCTTAAAATGATAAGCAGAACGAAGCAAAGGAAGAATATGCGGGTATACAGCGTCTTTGATCCAAAATTCTTGGCGGCGCTCACTACGCTTGACATATTCGAATCAATTTTCAATGCTTCACATATGGGGATTGCAAATAATACTCGCAAACAAGATACCTGTGAAATAAGATATCGTTCATCAAATAGATTAAATGCAAATTGTCCTCAAACATGGTCCGCGTCTTCGCCAGAGCGTTCAGGAAGCGAGCGAGCATGTCGAAATGGGTGGGCGCAGAACAGTGATCGAAAATCCATGTTTTACCTCCCTATTACTCGGCATGGAACGAGCTCAATTTAATCATAGGAAAAATCAAACTAGCGGCGGCTAAGTAATTTTTCTTGTCGAAATTTTCCAGATAGCCTCACCTGCATATTACTTTGTGAACAATCGCGCATGAGCATGTCGAGATAAATAAGAAAATTGTCCACATCAGCAGGCCCAGCAGAGCCTCTCAAAGCCATCACAAAGTTGTTAAACTCCAAGGAGGCATCGCCGACAGCAGTTGATAATGGGATTATATGCGGAGGTCTTTGATATGGAGCGGGAAGATATTGATTAGAGGGTGGAACTGGAGGAGGGTGACCAGGGTATGTTGTGTATGGCGGTTGTGGCGACGGGTATTGACCTAATTCGCGAGTAAAAGGTTACAAGTTCAAGAATTAAGATCACCGACCACAATTTCAATATTTATGTACATTTATCCCATGTTTATATGGTAGTAGTTCAATAGATTAAGTTTATTAAAGATCGTATACACCTTGGACATTATAAAGTTACATTGCTGAAAGGGTCAACTGCTCCATTTAATCAACTGACAGGCTAACCAACTTGCAATCTACTCTTATGTTGGCATCTTACCTGGTGACAACCACTGAGACATTGTTGACAAGAAAGCAATTGCACAAGCCACTGATTAATTCCTCAATTTAATGTGACACGAACATTTCCCATTTTTGGTAAGGCGAGATTAATAATCAATCATAACAATAACTATAACTGTAGATGACTGTGCACGTGTCCATCTTTTATGAATATGAAAGCGTGTTTCGTATGTAAGCGTGTTTGTGTATTATTAATAGTTCATCTAAAATAGCCCTCCATCCGCCCTCGATCTGGAACTTTTTTTAAAATCACAAAATAAATTGTTAATTAGTTTCTTTTATTCGGACGTTGACTTTTTCAACATAAATTTTGATTTGCAAAAGACCGCCTCTCATAAACGTAGGAATGGGAATAGTCCTTCCAGAACACTAACTGTATTGAGATCATGAGAAATAGTAATGTGAATTTAATTCACATTATTTGCAAGTAATTGCATATTCTCAAAAATGAGTGACCAGGAAAAGTTGCTTAAGAATTTGCGATGAGTTTAGGAGAATGCTAGCAGGGAATTCTAACAACCCAAAGCGACGTAATTGCCGGGAAGTTATGTCTTCAATTTCAGGTGTTGGTAGATGAATTTAAAAGACTAAAACAAACAACAAGCAGCAGTAGTAGTAGTAGCAGCAGCAGTAGCAGTAGCAGTAGCAGTAGCAGCAGTAAGCAACACAACAATAACAATAAACAACAAGAAATTATTATCATTACTTTATTCTTCTGTTTAATATTCAAACAATTGACAGTTACACACTACTCTACAAAACGGGGTCTGAAGTGTTTGTTTCTTTTATGGAGAGACAGCAAACAACGGTACGTCTTATTACGTAAGAATGACAACGTTTACCCTCCCGATAAAATAGCGAATGGTTATTAATTAAACTCGGGCTTTGTACGTGTAGCGAATCAAAGATCTCGCTGCTAGTTATAAAAAATCACGTAAGATAGACTATCAAGTTACACACCATTCTTGACAAACCCTTAAAAGTCGACCATTTGCCTTAAGATATAGATTAGACACTTTCCTTCAAATTTAGACTTTCCCACCTCAACTATCGCCACTCTTTCGTTTGATTTTAGTAAATTGCGTAAGATAATATTCTTTCAACTTCAAACCTTTTCTCTTGTAAACCTTTTGTAATAATCAACCGCCATGTCGAACATGCAATATGATTTCATTATCAAGGTACATGAACAGTCTCCCATTGTCATATGTTTCCCGCTTTTTTCTTCAACTAACGCTATTGTTTCCCACCCGATCTGCACACAGTATATTATTATCGGAGACTCGGGTATGTTAAAGACCGTTTGGCAACATTGTTTTACTACAAACATCCAATTAATATTTTCTAATCGCTTTCAGGCGTCGGCAAGGTACTGTCATTATTCATGCGTGTTTTTGGTAGTGCTGAACAGCAAATATCAACAGCTGTCGGTTGTTTGGTGTGGATCTTAAGGAAGGATTCGCCTTACAGCAGGGCATTTCTGAAACCAACTGATCTCTATTACATAATTGCAGTCATGTTTACTTTTACAATTCACTGATAAGCGTTTCCAATCTGTACATGACTTGACGATTGGGTAAGCACCAGTTTTATGTTTTATGTCGTTTCTCGAGTGTGTTATTCTAACTTATGACTATCTATCTATAGTGTGGAGTTTGGAGCTCGGTTTGTCAACGTAAGAACGTTTATGGATCATATTTGTTGATTCTAATTATGCATGAATGACGAACGCAATTTCTCTTCAACGAAAGGTCGAGGATAAACGCATCAAGCTCCAAATCTGGGATACGGTAGGAAATCGTTCTTTTTCATATATTATCAATGATACCTCCATTACAAATTAAACCCCATTCTTTCTACGACAGGCGGGTCAAGAATCGTTTAGGAGCATAACGAGAAACTATTATCGCGGTGCCGTCGGTGCCCTTCTTGGTAAATTTTCTAGAGATTGACCTATTGTTGGCGATTTACCATCGATCCGTTCATTTGTTAACACTTTCATACATTAAACAAAGTTTATGATATCACTAGGTAAGCCTCATAGATGTCAGACACGATATTATTTCCTTTTATTCTATGCTTAAATGCTCTGATATATTCTCCGCACTTAGGCGTGAGACGTTTGAACATCTCTTGATGTGGTTGGAAGATGCGCGCCAACACTCTACGTCAAAGACAACTTACATGCTAATCGGAAACAAATGTGACCTGGAAGGCAAGCGAGCCGTGAGTTATGAAGAAGGCGAATCATTCGCTAGACAGCGTGGATTATTCTTCATGGAGACATCTGCAAAAACTTCGGCAAACGTTGAGGAAGCATTTGTAAAAATTGCGCGTGACATCCACGATAAGATTAAAGCAGGAATTATTGACGTTAATAATGAGGTAATTATCGAAAAGTAGATGCCTGATGAAACTCGTAGCGTGCTCTGATTCGTATTCTCTTTTATCTGCTGCTCGGTTTCTTTTGATTTAGGCTAATGGGATCAAAGTCGGAGGCCTTATCAAACCTCCAAACGCCGTTAATCTGAATCCAAATAATAGTGGTGGTTGCTGTTATTAATTATGTGCAATCCATATCTTATTATTGACGTTTACTTCTTTGCCTCCTAATTTATTGTCGTCAATAATATATACATAAATAAATTGTACAAGTAGATATATAAGGTAATCACGTTCAGCCAGAGATGTCTCTCTTTTATTCTTTTACTCTATAAATATTTCAATATTATTATTTGATTCAGAACGCATGTATTCTAAATTTAGACAGGTTTCAGCAATTAAAACAATATAAATCAAATTCACAACTTCGGATGTCGAGAGATTTACCGAAAACCATAGTAGACTCGTGTCATGAACAGTATAGAAAAATAATAAAAAAGACGAAAGAAGAATGGACTGTCCTTGCGGGAATAGTTGCTGTTTGGGACAAAGGTTTGGCGCCGTAGACAGCCGTTTATAGACTCGCAAGAATTCTGTCTTTAATTAGCTTGTAAAAATAGGACAAGGCGGCTATGGAGTCCAATGTATTTCTCTGGGGTAAGTTGTTGTCAAGACACTGCTTGATTTTTCGTAACCCATTGCTGAATTTGACGTCATTTGAAGGGCGGGTCTCAAATGTCTCCCGCAAAGCAAGCTTAGCTACAATGGAGAATTGGTGCACGATAGCCATGCCGAAATATTGGCTCGAAGAGCATTCATAAGGTTGGTATTATATCTATTTTATTGCGATTCATGAAATCGGATTACTTACAAGATTGCCTCATTACAAGGTTTTTGATCAATGAACTGAATCTGGCATTAACTTCCGAGTCACGATATTTCAGTCTAGACAATGAACTCAACGTATCAAATACCGAACAGGAAGATAGTCATCCCTTGTTCCGACTAGCGAGTGACAGAATCTCGTTTCATTTGTATGTGAGCCAGGCTCCTTGTGAGTATAATGTGGTGTAGTGTATGTGCACGCTTACAAGTGCTTGTTTTTTTGCCTTAATTCCATCATTGTGCATTCATCTGCTGTTCTGAACGTTCACACTTCTCGAGTGCAGGTGGTGATGCTTCAACGCTTAGTTTGGCTCAAATTCAGTCCCCAGATGACGCAAAGCTATACAAAACTGCATATATTAACGTGAAACAAAATCGGTACTTGGCCGATAACGAGTCGGGGGCACATTCTCAAACTGCAGCGGGATCAAGCGTCCGTGTCGTAAATAGCGATGGTTTCCGTAGAGGAAGAATTGATTATGAATCAATAGGCGTGCTAAGGACTAAACCAGGACGAGCTGATTCTGAGCCTACGCTTTCAATGTCATGTAGTGACAAAATAGCGCTATGGAATATCGTAGGCCTTCAGTCTGCTTTGCTTTCAGAATTAATTGCGCCCATTTATTTGTCGTCTATAGTCATCGGAGATATGTTTGATTATAGTTCGCTGGCTAGAGCCTTTTATGGGAGATGTGAAGGAGTGCAAGGTGATTATATTACCGTGCATTGACTAATCTCTTGATCTGGATTATGTGCGAAATAATAATATCCTTGATGTAAAAGATCTTCCCCTAGGCTATTCGTTGCATAGGCCGATTATCTCGAAAACAACAAGTACCTTTGAATGGTCGCGTAGTCAATTGCAATTGAGATCGCCTGATGGTAACGCTGTTCCCTCAAGCACAAGTAAGCAAACAAACCAGTACATATGTGCGAGTGTTGTTTATTCCCCATTTGTGACGTGAATCTAGCTATGGTTTGGGCAAAAGGCTTCACTACAGCAGAAATCCTTGTCTCTGGCCGTAAACAAGGAGCAACAAAGGGCACGAATGGAAAGTATCCCTCTAAAACAAGGTATATAGTGGCAAAGGTTGGATTTGTTTCTTACGGAGAAGCTCTCATTCTAATGTATCCGTTCTATTAGGAGTTCAGTAGCTAAACTCTGTTTGTTTCAATGCGTGGTTGATCTTTTGCGAAAATGTCCTGTTACATCTTTGCCATCGCATTCTCTAAAGTTGAGTATATTTATGTGAAATTTGCATCAAACGATTGCTTGTTGCTCATCATAGTCTGTTCCAGATCTCTTCCATATTATAGCTTTAAAGCAGCAAGCGCAAACTATCAAAAGGCTAAACAAGAGATACGCAGACAAAAACTCAGAAACTGGATCAAATGTCCAAATGAAATATATTTAAACTTTAATGTGGACGGTGAAATTTGTAGGTGACTTTTATATTAATGGAACAAAAAAGGGTAGACGAAGAGTTAACAAAGAGTAGTCACCATTCAACACATCCAGATATTACAAACGAAATTTATATCGTACAAATAGGGATTAAATCAACACATCTAACAGCTTCTATTTTAACAAATGTTCTATAAATATTGATTAATCATGCCTTGCACCAAAGCGTTGAATCCAAGACAGCAATGGCTGCTCCAAGACACCATCCCGTCTCGATACCTTTAATCTTTTTTGCAATTTTGACTTCTCTGTCTAACGGGATCTCATAACCGAAATGTAATAATCCATAAATAAATGTCAAATCCATACAATAATGTGGATTTTTTTGCAACTCCTTCATTGCTTCAGGCAAATGGGCGAATTTACTGACATCCCCTGCGCACACTGCATCTGTCAATTCTCGAAGTTCACCAAGAGAGAATTCTGATGGCATACCTAACGGGTTGGCCCGATCGTAAAAGTACGAGAACGCATAGATATCATTAATTGAAAATGTCTCCCGCAAGGGTGGTTGATAGACTCCATCGAAGGCACATGGCGATAACGAACATTCTTTGTTCTTGTCAAACAAATGCTCAGTCACTGCTCTACATTGAGCATGTCCAGCACCGGTGCCCACAACTGTCGTAGAATCATCCAAAGTAGGCAGTATATCCTTCAAAGACAATTCTTCGGTGTAATTCTTCGGAAGACAAGGATGCGGCGTCGTGTCATCTATTTCTTCAGCCTTTACGCCCAAAACTTTTTTACTTTTAATACTATGCCACATTTTTATCATTATTTCTTTTATCCGTCGTCGAGCACTCATTAGACCATAACCAAGGTAGGAATGTTGGTAGAGAACGTAAGTATGTCCACCGTATTGGAGTTCGTACCGATGTTCACCTGGTGCGACAACAAAGTCATCTGTAGAGTCCGGCTCAAAAACGATCTGAGTCGAACCGCCCCCAAGATCAAAAATTGCCGCCGTTGGTTGCTTATGGGCAGAGCCTATGCGTTGCAACAGATAATTAACTGTTATCCAAGCGTATACACCTGGTATAAGAATTAAAAAGGATGGTTAGTGATTGGGTGGTTATCAGTATACGTTTGTCGGCATACGTTTGTTTGTCAGCATACATCAACTCTTGTTACCTACCTTCATCTTTACCATCCATAATGGCGACACCTTCATTCTCAATAATAGGAAACGGGTATTTATTTTCCAAACGCTTCCTAACAGCCTTTAGAATATGAAGACTCTTTTTAACACCCAACAATCTCAACCCGGCGGTAGCTTTAACAGCAACCGGGGTACAGCTATGTAATTCCGCGGGAACATGTTTTAGCGCAACCGCCACTAGTTCGTCCAAGCTCTCGGCAGCACCCTCCGGATTGTCAGGATAACTCGATAAACCTGGTTCAACATGGTGAAATACTTCATCCTCCAACTGCGGGGAGTTTTTGCAATAATTGAATCGATATACATGAATCCGCGACCCGGTAGAACCAGCGTCAATCATGAGAGCGTACTGGATCAATGGACGACCAGGATATGGTTTTTTGCAATGAGATGTTTTGAGTGGCGTGGATGTGGTATCCTTATCCGTTTGGTTATCTGAATCTGAGATTGAATTTGATATGTCGGCATCGAATAATTCTCCTAGTAGGGAACCATTGTAAAATCGGTATATGTATTGGTAATAAATAATAACGAGAAAAGAGTATTTGTTAATGCTTCCTCCTTATTACTATGCATTGTCTTGTCAGTTACATTACTGTTTGAGCGAGCCTATTTCCTGATGAAAGAACTCACCTTCAAGATCGAGACCAAATAGTCGTTCTTTAGGCACGAGGAAAACCGCCAAACACAAGAAAAAGACAAGAAATACCATTATACGAAGCCATAGCTTCTTCCTAGGTTTGGCATTAATGGTCATCTTGTTGTTCGAGTAGTCGCAACCTAGGGCCTCTTTGGGTATTTGGGGACTACTTTTTCGACGAGTTATAAAGGATGAGTTGTGGTCGACTGACGTAGATTGCGAGTCGTCCTCCGAATCACTATGCGAGTCAAACCTTGTTGCTGTTTGTATCGGATTATCGAATTCTTGTATTGGATTATCGCGCATCAGAAGAAAGTATCTGATAATAGGTCCATGGGTTTTTATTTTGTACAGTCTCCAGTCTCTTTGTGCAACATTATTAGCCAAAAAGGAAGAATGTAAATCCACCTTCTACGGCTCTTATTATTATTATTTCCTGCCTTAGTTAGTCTTGTAGATAGCTATGTCCGGAAATTTGAAATGGGCCATTTTTTGAAGAACAATAATACCATAATAATAAGGCAAAATAAAAAGACTTCTTTTTTTTGGATACAAATTTTTACTGAGAATGTTAGGAAAATTTTGCTTAATTATTCTAGAAGAGAAATACCGAAAACAATTTGCTTTCGTCCACACCCATCAATCGTCGTAAGAAATTGAAACCATGCCAATACATTTGACAAAACGCTTTCTTCGGGCAGCGTTATTGGAGGTCAAAAATAATGTACATACGGGCATTTGACGTATGTCGCGTTTGTTGCATTTCCCGTTGAAAATCTTGTCTTATTTGTTGCGATTAAGGTATCGCACAATTAGTAATTTTTATTTTTAAAATACAATGACATGATATTTAGTAATCTTGCAGTTACAGCAATAATATGATCGACACTTCTTAATCTCGCAGATACGGTATATTGAACTGGTTAATTTTCAACAATGCTATCAGTGACACTTCGATATCAACATGGTTGATTGTTCAATGCTACGTTGAATACGTCATAGCTATAATTGCCAAATAAAGATAGTAAAAAAAAGCATAGTTAGACAGGAATATTACGACAGAGAATAGTTTGATTAAGGACTTTTTGCCTGCTGGTTAATTTTGGGGCTGACAGCCACTCGTTAAATGCATGAAGGGAACGATATATCATTTTTAGTTTATTGTGACCACGCAAGGTTCTCGTTTCGGGAACCAAAATGTACACAGAAATACAAGATTTTAACTAACGAGAAATATAATACACAAGTCACCAAAATTTGAGGCGTTGTACATATCGATTTCTCGAAACAAACTAAACAAGAACGTGACTGGCTGGCTAAATTAGCATGGGTAGCTGCACCTATTACTCCCGAACAAACATACTAATACAAAGATAAACACATATTGTTTAACATCGCTGTTATCTACGCAGTAAAGAGTGTGAGAATTGTTACACGTATGTCAAGTGGGGAGTCTGTATTATCGTGATTGTTTCCGAAAAGAAGAATAATGATGTAACATTCTCGTCATTCCCCACAGCTAATAAACCTACAAAATCATTTCTAGACGCATTGCGGCGAGATGCATTATAGAGATGAGTTGCTAAAGAAGCGTTTGGCTTAAAAATCCACTTGCCATCAGGAGTAAGTGTTTTATCACAATGAGCCTCCTCTAAGTCGGGATATTACATCGATAGCCGATAAAACGAAGTAAATCTTCACGGACTGTCGGCAAATTATCGCCACGTAAATCCGTTAGAACATGTACTACATTTTGATTTAACTTTCTAACGCGGTGCAACATCTGGTATGCTTCATTGCTCGTTAGACCGGCTAATATGCGAAAATGAGCAAACGTCATATCGAAGTTTTCGGTTGTTATACTTACTCTACAAGTCATGACTGGAGTTGCTATTAAATAACCAAGATTTGTCACTGCGTCATTGATATCAGCAAATATATCCTTTTTATTTTTCTCTATTTCTGATAATCGTTTGGAAAAACACTTACCTCGATATCCATGAGATGACAATTCTTTATGAAGAGCTGCCATTTCTGCGCTAGCGAACATCGGAATATAGACTTTTAATCCTCGCTTGAGCGCTCCAATTAATCCAACATTCCATTTTTTGGCGTTAATATGTATAAGAGCTTGGCGCTTATCTCTTATATGCCGATTCCATAATCACATCATAGCCGGTCGCTCCGAGTTTATGGGGCTGATGACAAGTTTCGGTGTATCCTTGGGGTTGAGTTTCTGTATATCTAGGTCAATATAAGACTTAAATCCATCATAAAGGGTTTTTTGACCACGGGCAAGAGAGCGCCTACCTGAAATAATGAGGATCGAAACAGGAGAGGCCCGAAGGGGCGAGTTTAAAGACTCCCCGTCAGGACGATAAAGCATTTTTATTTCTTCTGCAGTCCTATTCGATTTACCAATACCACAATGTCCTTTAACCAGTATCAAGTGCCGGTTGCCACTAAACACTTTGGTTGTAAATTGTAAGTACGCATTGACTCAGTGTCATATTTCGATATTCTTTCCAACTGCAGTAAAGTTATTTTGTGAAAGTGATTTCAACTGCAGACGGGCTCTTAATCTGTCCAATCGTGGAATGGTTTTCTTCTTACCACAACCTGATTTCATTATTTCAATACCAGGATCGCCCTTTTTCTGCCTGTAGCAATAAAGGAAATAGCATGATCCCTGCATCGACCATACATACCATCCCTTGTATGCTCTTTTTCGCAAATTTGGCAAATTGTAGGGAGAATTCTATCAAATGTGTCAAACCCGTTGCTAGAATTTCGATAGCACGGAAAAGAGAAATGATTTTCTACTGTTTTTATCGCACTATCTCGATGAGCACCTAAGGATGCTCCGGTCTGTATTTCTGGCTTTTTGCCTTCTTCCCATTCAGCCAAAGTTCTACAGGATCTTTGTCAATAAGATTCTCTCCAGTTATGATTTGAACGTATGCGCTTAATGCGCGAAGGGTCTTTAGCTTTATGACTCCCTGCTAATCGGAAACAATGGACATTCTTATTTACTTCATCGTCAATAAAAGGATGGATTCTTTGTGGAACAAGTTCTAAAATTCGACCTGTAAATTTCCGAACCTTGTATGCACTACGGACAAAATAGCGAGGTAATATTAAGTGTTGACTCCACTTAGTCTTGTTCGAAGAATCAGCCAATAAAATATCATCCATTGAAATATCTGATCCAGTTATTTCCTTTATAGCAATTTTTAGCAATACCGTTGAATAAGCGCTCCCCGATCAGTTTACACACGAGATTATAAAATTTTGTTTATGTGACGGTTTGCCGATCATTTTCATATGACCAAAGGGTGTTATAATAATAAGTACTTTCTTATTTCTCTTATTTACAATTTACGTTATTAAAAAAAAAAACCAAAACGCAAAGCAAGCTTGGAAGTAAACGAAATGAACGAAAATTGGTGTGCAATCGTAAAGGTTTTAAAGCCCGGCGTGTCAAATCGTCTTCTCGAATACCTATGTTTCCTAAATATTTCTGTCTCAGATAAAAAGACAACACACAGAGATTGGATTGAAACTCTTAACGATATCTGGAAAAACCATCCTGTTGCACAGATTCAGAAACTAGCAGACAAAAGTATCAAAAATTATCAGGTTATGTATTTGCATTTATTGTACGAGAATACGGGATTAAACAGAAGTTGGTATCGCTCCTGCGTTCATCCTCTGCTTTGGGCACAGGAGTACTTCCTCCACTTTCGGAGAGCGATATCAGCGGGAAGATGGGAGCCACAAGTGATCCTCTGCTTTCATCTTGTGGCATAATCCTCTGTTTTTATCCCATCTTTCATGGGGCTCAATGTTCTGTTGGTCATCCTCTGCTTTGGCACTGCATTAAATTGAGCCCCTAATCTATTTGATCCCAAAAAATTATTTTCATTTATATGCTTTTTGAATAAAACCTGTCGTCAATATTTATATTAATATATTTTTTCTAACTTCGAATGAAATCAAATCTCAAGCTGTCTCAAAATTCTGGATAGATATCGAAAAAGCAAAGCTCGGAAACAAATTATATTCTATTCACTTCAATGGATTTACAGAACTGGTTAGTATTTACTTTCTACGCATCACACCATTTTCTCTGCTTAAAAATATAATTTGCCTTTACATTCAGGTTGAAAATAGAAACAATTTTGAATACAGTGAACTTCAAGATATTCAGGTCGAATATAGTGATAATTCAAACTCCAAATCCGAGCACAATGAACTTCAAGATATTCAAGTCGAAATTAGCGATAACTCATGCCTCAAATCCGAACCATACGAAGAGTACTTATTAGTAGCAACTGTAGAAGACAATTCAAACTAAATACTACATGTGTTGTCATATTAATAAATAAGAACAATCATATGTACTGTACAATTGCATTTATTAATATAGATGAAAATGCTGACGATTTTCTGACAAAATGAAGCAGAAACTTACAGCCTATAATCAAATGTATGTCCACAATTATTTTTTTGTCCAAAACTAATATAATAAGTACTCGGTATGCAGAGGGAGGTAGTTCCTCTCTCGAAAGGAAAATGGGCTTTCAAATTGAATCTATAGTCACCGTCCTATTTCCACTATCGATCGACACATTAGGGACAACCATCGAAATAAAATGTTATTATGGATGCAATGACTTGAATTAGTGAAAGCAGCAGAGTTTCCTGGGCTTGGGTAATATACCACAGAAAAAAAGTAACATTGAGAGAGCCCAAAGCACAATGGGGTTGCATCAAGCAGCGGTCGACGGATAATGTGTGGTTGTAAAGACACATGCTGATCACTGACAATATTAATTAATATTAGCCTTGCTATATGCGATGAATGCGATGAATAAGCAATTGTGTCCGTTAACATCAGAGTGTCGTACTATGTATGCAGAGGTTCCACAAGAAAATGTCTGTGATGAATGGGCTCTGGCCACTACCTCGCAATATAAAACTGTTTTTTAATCGTTGTTTGCTGTTATAATATCAGGTTAGAACACGTTTCAAAACCAAAAAAGGACTTTAACCGCCTTTTCCTAGCTCAGGAACTCTTCAACCCCGAAGTCATGGCTGAGCAAGACGAATATCGAGATTAGGTAATGTTAAAAACGACACCGGAATAGTGAAACATCAAGGCGCGGTAAACAAATGCTTGTTTAATCCGTTCCCGACCCGACACAGCAATTAATCAAAAAAGTGACGGGCCGCTCTGGGATTAAAGTTGATGTTACCCAAAAAGAAGATATATATGCAGTATAAGTTTTCTCAATGTGCCCGATCGGAAAATAATGTCATTCGGAAAATTATATCACCCTCTTCGCAAAATTGTCAATCCCGTGGCTCCAACATGGGATGATTTCCTCGAGATGTTGGGACGTTCCAATGACCAGTTTGAAGATTTCAAAAATTCGATCTATGGTGTCTCTGATGATTCTCCTCAAGTCATCACTCCATTTGATGGTACCTCTTATAATACGGCCCGTGCGGAATCTGACGTAGCGTTCAAAACTTATCCATTGCTCATCGTCTACTGTCGCTGCGTAAGTGATGTTGTGAATGCTGTTAAATTTGCAAAGATGGATCCATGGATCAAGGTGTGCGTCAGGGCTGGCGGTAAGCATCATTTCCTGATCCGAGGCTCGAATGTAATTCGACATAATTTTTCAAACAATCTTGTCATTTTTCGTAGGACATAATACGGCTGGATATTCTGTTATTCAGAATGGAATGGTGATTGATGTATCCGGCATGGACGGAATCCTTATTGACCCTGTGAAAAAAGAAGCAATATTCCAGGCCGGAGTCAGATGGGGAAAGGCCAACACTGAATTGCAAGTCTATAACCTTCATACTCCAGGTATTATTATTTGATAAAGTTTTCGAATGCTTGACTATTATGTATTAAGATTTAAATTTTTTAAAAAGGCGGAGGTTGTGATGACGTCGGTATAGCTGGATTTTCAATGGGTGGAGGTTATGGCTACACGGCACTAAAGCACGGAATGGCATGCGATAACATCATCGAGGTGACGATGGTCACGGCGGATGGTCAAATAGTCAAGGCATCAGAAGAAAACGACCCTGATAAATTGCTCTGGGCAACCAAAGGTGGAACGGGAGGTAACTTTGGGGTTATGGTAGATTTTAAATTCCGACTCTATGAGATTCCCGAAAAGGTTTATACGATTGAATTGAACTGGCCAATCGACATGGCAGCCAAAGTTTTGACCACCTGGCAAAACGAAATGACTATTACTTTGAATGATCGTAACCTTGGTATATTAGGCTTCCTTGCCATGGATGCCGATACTGAAGATAGGAAGGCGGCAACCCCATATTTCTGTATTCGTGGCATCTATTCCGACAAGGATGCAGCGGCTGGCATGGCATCATTGAAACCATTGCTTGATATTGGAGGGTATGAACTTCCTTCTGGACAGCCGCCCCTTTTTGATCCAAAATCTTTGGTTCCATACGCATATGCCAATCAACATCTATTGGATGCGGTTGAGGGATCGATACCATCAACTGCAAATGAAACGAAACGATGTGCATACATTGAAAGGCAACTATCGGAAGAAGAATATCAACAGATAGTTAACTATTTTGTAACAGCGCCATGCGGATATAACATTGTATCCATGGAGCCTTACGGTGGACGCATTAATGAGATTCCATCAGACGAGTGTGCTTTTGTTCATAGGAACGCATATTTTGATATTTTCGTGGACTCGTTTTGGATTAATGACATAGATGAAAACCAGGCGCGAACATGGTTGCACGACTTTTTCGAGGGGGAAGAGTTCCAGAATATTTGGTCAAACCATATTTATCAGAATTACATGAATTCAGAATACAAAGACTGGGCAGATGCGTATTTTGGTGAAAATTACCAGCAATTGCGAAAAGTGAAAACCATATTTGATCCCAAATCCTTCTTCAGTTATGAGCAAGGGATTCGTCCTTTAGATAATTGATGATAGTGAAATGCATATAGTCTCTTTAGCAATTTGAACTACTTTTTATGTAAGAAACTATATAGCCCATTTACTAAAAGAACAATAAATTTTGGGAATAACATTTCATAAACTATATGTAATAAACGAGTAACTTCCTCGACATGATTTTTAATGACTCCATCGACGATGCGTATGATTTTATAATGCATAATGATAAGTAAAGTTTTACTCTACTAAAGGAAGTTTTGTCCGTCGAGTCGTAGGTCAATTTTCATTCTCGTTGGAAGAACTAGACGTTATTCTCAAGGTTGTAGTAATGATCATTCAACACTTCAACGCTATTAAGACTGTGGAAATACGTTTTAACATGTGCTCTTCAAACATACAGTATATAACGCTTTATTCGAATTTTTATGAAAGAGAACTATTATTAAGAAAAGTGCATATTATATGGCTTGTCAATAGCGGGATAGCAATCGATCGCTTTAGCTATTTTCAAACGGAACTGTGGCTTCTCCTACTTTTAGTTAAATACGATGACAGTTAACTACTCACGGCCTAGTATCAATCGGTAGACGCTAACCTTAGTCTCTTGCTATTGCTTAAAGATCGAATGAGGATACATTGTCGCGATATTATAGTTCTGGTTGTCAGCTTACTACAATACTAGTATAGTAATTCAATTTTAATTAATAAAAGACGTTGTCGGTAGTGCGTCGTTATGATTGAAAATTAATACTGAACATTGTCACGCTTGAAGTATGATGATATATTTGCGATATTATTAATGGGTGCTCCCATCAGCTTAAGATAAGTTAAAGGGGAGGTAAGTGCTCATAAGCTCTTGCCAAATGAAATGGAAGGATTTCTTTATTGTTTGATAAGTTATACATACCATAGAGACAATAGTACGATTGCTGTCAATTACTATTTATAGGGAGGCTAAAGCGGAGTAGTTTTTTTACAATTTCATTGGTTGATATACAAATTTGACCAATGTAATTGCAAGAATCAGGTCACGTTCTACTCCGCTTTAGCCATCGTCTATTTATATAGTGCCCGTCCCTACAGTGATTGCTAATTTTAGTAACTTCGATTGCCAAATCTGATAGGGGATGAGAGCACCACTCCTGTGGCTGATTATAGTACGGAAATATAGTATTTAACACAATGATGACCGGAATTATCACTGAATTATACTGTGCGACGTTAAATGTGTGGGATAAATGTGTGTTTTCTTGACTATAACGGCCTTGAACTCCATTGACAAATTGGATTTCTTACATGCAATTTTGTTATTATGTCCAAACAGACAAGAAGTTCTATGGTTAATATAATCAATTTCTTATTATTGAATTGCGCTCCTTGTTATAAGAATAAAGAGAGATATTTTTGAATTATAGATAATAGTAATTTTCTTGAGTTAAACAAGCCTGTTTTAGACATATTTGCCCCCAACGTTTATATGATATCTAATGTCATTTTTATAAAACAAAGACCAATTATAATACAAATTCAGGCAGACGTCTTTGTCATGAAGAACATGGCTTGTTGTCTCCAGTTTATTGCATTCAAGCGCAAGTTTAATTATAACAGTATTTATTCGACTATTACATATAATAAAATTTTCAATTCTTTTTTTTTCTTTTCGTTATTATAATTTTCATTATCATTGGCTTATCATTTAAATAATATTATAATTATTACCAATAAATAATATTAAGTACATTATAATAAATACATTACATGACATATAAACAATAGGTGGATAAATAATCGAATAACTATTGCTTTCAAACTGGCGTGCCAAGCAGCAAACTTACCTTTCATCTCTAACCAGCTTCAGAGACAGATCCTTCACAAGCAGCTAAGTAATCACCGAATCGGACCCTCAAACTCGCTCCACTCCACCAAGTGTCCCATTGGATCCGTTCACAGCAAACCGCCAGTGTAGAGAAAAAAGGGAAAGAAAGAAAAAAAAAAAGAAAAAGGAGTTAGTTTATAACGTAAAGCAAATGCGATACTTACCTTATACTTACCCAAAACCTTCTACCCGTCGTCTAAAAGCTGTGTAAAAAAAAGAAGAAAGGAGATGTCGTGATAGTGTTCCGGGCATCCCCCGTGACCCACTTATCAGAGGACCCGTGCCAGATCCCTTCACCGCAGGCGAGCACTGGTGAGAGTGGTGAGTAGAGGGGCGTCACCGGTAACTACCCGCCGCCCGATCCAGATCCGCACCCGTCCACCGGTCGAGATAAAAGAGAGTAGCCGCCTACTTAACCAGTTTAAAAAGCAATGGTCTGTTAGTGAACGATTATTTATCCACCAATCGCTTCTTTTATGGTATTTTTTTTCTCTATTTTTTCTTTCTTAATCCTTTAGTAACAGAATTGACGCTGCCAAATACACTGTGTAGACCTAGCGCGCCGATGAGAATGACCGTCCGAGCATAGAGCCGACTTGTTAATTAGTGGAGTGGGAAGAGCCAAATCATGTGTCGGAAATTTTTCAAAATCGAGGAATATAACGTCTTCGTCTAAGGAATATAATAGATGTTAGTTGGGTTGTTTTATGACGCAATTATTTATTTCACTGAAGACAAGAAGATATCTAAGATGTCGAATATCTAAACAAATTAATAAACTTACGTACAATAGCAACTTTCCCCGAACTCTTTTATCGCATTGTTATTCTACTCGGTGCGGTACATGTTAATCATAAAGAAGCAGATTTGTATGCGTAAATGGGCGGAATATTCGTTTTTGCGTGAACTCTTTCATTTATGTGATCCATAAACCGAGTTGTCGTTTCAAAGACTTGTTCGTGAATTGTGGCAAACTGAAGTACGTGTGTAATATGATGTGGCGGCAAAGGTATGTTCGCTGTATATTTAAATAACGTTGTGTTTGCGCTTTGAAAGCCGTTGTGAAGCGACATCTGTATATATATGGGTAGACACATGTCCGAAAATTGGTTTGTCGGCTATGTTGTTAAGTGTCAAGGGTTTGTCGTTTGAAGACTTGTCCGTGAGTTGTAGAAACTGTCATCGTGCGTAATATAGAGTGGTGGTAAGCGTTGTATATTTTACTTTGGATACGTTGTATTTGGCGTTTTGGAGGAGGATAAGTTGTTGTAAAACGATACGTGCGCAACGGAGAGACATGTGAATATGAGTAACGCGCGTTCAAACTCTTTTCATCGGTTGTGTGGTTGATAACCGTGTTGTTTAAAAACTTGTTTGCGAGTTGTAGCAAAGTGTCGTGTGTGCGCAATATAGAGTGGCGACAAAGGTTTATTGCGTTGTATATTTTACTTTTGGATAACAACGTTGTGTTGCGCGTTGGGCAACGGAGAGAAGTGTTGGATATACATTTAATATGAGTATTGATTATGTGGTCGATTGTTTGAGGACTTGTTTGTGAGCTGTCGCATGTGCGTGGCGGCAAAGATCTGTTGCGGTGTATATTTATAACGTCGTATTTTGCGCTTTTGAGGAGAAAAGGTTGTTGTGAAAGGCAATGGAGAAGTGAGTAGCGTCTGGGAGTATATATATGTGTGTATGAGTAGACGCGTGTTCGCGTATTAGATGACGAAAGATGAAGGGGCGTGAGAGTCTGCGACTGTCAACCAATAGTAGCATAAGCGGGTATCGATTATTGCCTAGTGTAACACATCGCGATTGTTTCCGCGAATAAGAACAATGGTATCAGTGATTACACGCAGTAAAATATTTTTCACTGGTTAACCAGTCCGATAAGTCACGCATTAAATTGATCTCGATGATATTGATAACAAAGCACCCTTGCAATATGATATCAGCGTGATCTATGTAGTATAGCGAGTAGCATAGTTGCTCTTAACTACAACACGCTTAATTTATTTTCACTCGGAGGTATAATGAATTGAGCTCGATATGACTCGATATAATGACAATCCTTATCAACTTTGCAATAACATATTGAGCGGATTCGATGTTAGCCGCATGGTGTTAAGATCGACCAATTCAAAACAGTTGGAGAAAACTCCAATATTACCATAATCCAACACGAATATCAATAATAAAACCAATTTATCTTTAATTTTGGTCCTTTTCATTTTATTAATTAATCTTCAACATGCCGTATATTATTAGCAGGTGGAGGAAAGTAGGAGGTTAACGGTTGGAAATACCGTATATTTTCTGCCCCTTCACCTGGCAAGCCTCTATAGGATTGAATACGTGGGTGTCGTCTATCTTCTTTTCGTATTTTGTGTTCGCATTCGTTTCTTTCAATTTTTATTACCTATATTAGCTTTTACAAAATTATTTTCAAGTTAATAGATTGCCTTCCAAAATGTTGTATTAAATGGTGCAACGTAGATATCCAACCTAAATTTGGAAAGGGAAAAACATCAGAACAGAATGAAAAAAAAATGTGTAGCTTGATAATAAAGTTATACTCTAAAGCTTTATATGGTTGTAAGTAGAGTATTTTGAACTTGAGAAGAGTAACATAAGAACCCTAACATTAGTATTCCTGCTTAATATTAATACTCAATAAATATTAAAATAGAATATTCCATAGCTTTTATTTGACTTACCTTCCATTTGCAGTTCCCGTAATTTTGGTCAAATGCTCTGTCTTAAATATAAACATACTTCTTGCCTACCATTTTCAACTTGCACTGACATACTGCTTGTTTACTGCACTCTTATATAACTCAACTACTTTCTGCTCATCTTTTCCCACTCCAGTCCCATTTTCATAACATACAGCAAGATTATATCGCGCACTGGCATGTTCTTGTTTAGCTGCTTTTTTACACCATTCAACTAATTTTTGTTCATCTTCTTCTAATCCACTTTCATTCATCTTGTATAACTGAATGAGTATTATATAGTGATAGTGGAAACCAAATTTTCAGCGTAGAACCGTGTTACTAGATTTTTACCCAATATATACAGAATACAGTGAAGTTTTCTGGGACAATATTAATACTAATATTAAGAATTTTGCAAAGAAAAATGTGCAGTATCCAAAATCTAGTGTAACATTGACCCTAACAGCTAATACATTCCCACGCCTTATACTGTATAACACATTGTGAACTAAAATGTTAACAGCGTGTTGCGGCCAAAGAAAGTTTTACTTTACAGACGTTATAAAATCCAACTACTCTGAATGAATTGTTTTGTTTACGTGTTCGCTTATGTAATTTATTTTGATCATACGAGTAGTGTGAAGAGAGCGTTTTCTCGTTTTGCTTTGTCAAAGGCTAAATTGTCGAATTCCCAAATCAACCGAGTTGATATTTTGTAATTTATGATAAGGGTGTATGACTCCGCTTTTGTCGACGTCGAGAAGAACGCATGATGAGATTATTTCTGGCAGATGTTCTCGATTCTTCAATATCATCGTCGTTGCCCGCTTTTGTCTTAATATCTATGTTTGGAGAAAGTTCATCTTCATTCCGACTAAAAGCTCCCGCTTTATTTGATCGGAGCATGTGACACAATTCTATTACTGTATCAAAATACATCGCCGATCAATTGCGCTTTAAACGCGTATTAAGAATGCTTAGCGAACCTGCTGCCTCACGGCCTCTGCATGCTCAATGCATGCAGTTAGTAGAAACCTTACAGTCAACCATTTGCTCTCCTGACGCGTCCACGGTGATTATGCATACCAAGCGTTTTCTAATTATATAATCATACTAACAAACTTGTTTGTAGGAACTCAAACCGGCGATATTTCAGAATGCTCTCGTGTGGTATTTTCATGCGCAAGTTCAACATCCGCTCAGAGCTCTTTATGGATATAAAAAGGCATTCTTTTTGTTAACCAAGAATTCCGTTGCTGACAAAAAAGCAGTAAGATACAGAAAATTAAATTGTTCAAAAATGAGATTAAGGATTACACGGGTATTCAATGACTTGTCACAAATATCTCGCATGGACGAAGGCCAGTCTTATTCGAGAACTTGAAGCAACGCCCCGAATTGTGATTAGTTCAAGAGCTACCGATAAAAAATGGTTTCTGGGTGGAATTGAGGTATCGTTTACCCCTTTGTAATTGCTCGAGTCTTAACGTTTATATTATCAGATTCACTAATTCAAATTATAGCCAATTTCACGCGAGAATGTCATCGAGTATAGAATGAAAGCAGACCAGACAACATTGGAGCCACTTTCTCAGGAAGATGCCAGGTTGTTGTTCGAATTAAAAGGTCTATTATTCGACAGCTAATAATATCATTCATGCGATTGCAGAAAATAAATTGACAAACACCCATTTCTACAGATACTACCTTTCACTCCTTAGTTTAGTCCAATCATACCACGAAGAAGCCAAGAATCTATCTGCGGTGTTTGCGTCCTGTGTAGGTACAAAGTCGTACATAGGATTGGAATTGGACTTTGATGGTAAATATCTCTTTTGCAGTTTTTGCTTTCGAACTGTAACCGACTTGATATACAGATGAAAAATGATCTCAGGTGGCATTACGAGGAATTCTACCCGGCAAACGAATATGTTGAAGAGACTTTATGTGGTAGAAGATGATGGTTGGTATTGAAACTGAATCTTGTCAGCTGACGCGTTGGGTAATCTCACAGCCGTTCCGTTAAATTGTAGGTGAAATTTCAAGTGTCCAAGGTGAAGAATTCAAGAGCATACCATCTTTAGATCAATTGTTAGAAAGGTATCGAGATGCAATGGGTCAGGAAAAGAATAGCTTAGAGGTATTTGATCAGTCAATACGAGTTGACAATATCCGTGAGCTCTATTGAATTTCATAATTAATGATTATGTAGACTTTATCGGGACAGGTCTTTGCTAAATATCACCTCGATCTAACGCTGGGAAAGAAGGTACCCGACATGGTTGCTCCAAAGCTTACACATGCAACCACTTTTTCTTCTTACCTAACTAGACCAAGCATTAGGATCTTAAGGAATCTCTTAGTACAATCACTCTTGAAATATGCTGGCAAGACATCCATCAACCATTGTCACCGCCACCATCTCTTGCGGCTGTCTCTCTGGTAACTTATTTCAGTTTGGTACATTCTTTTCGCATTAGACATTACCTAATACAGTTTTAGAACATCAATATTGTTAGCGGTGAATGCGATATTGTGAATCATCAGCCAACATATGGACTTCTTGTCGAATTAACCAGACTCATCAAATGGTACCTCGCGGCTTTCTCCGGTGACGATTGGGGAACCAACGTGACGGAGTCAATGGATGAGACTGTTAATGGAATTGCGCAAACAGTCAGAGTATTCCTTGAGGGTTCGTAACTATTGCAGATGAAATTCCGTGCAATGTAAATTTTGACTACATTCTACTCTGCTCACCAAAGATGTGAGGTTCGAAGGAAGTGTTTCGAATATAGGCGATGAGACGACTACTTCTTTCATGAGTTTTCAAAATTCTTCGTTGATGCAAAGGAAGGATCTAGATTTTACAGAAAAACTATGGAATTTTTGTCAAGGTGATATTTGTTAATTGTCAGTATTTAGAAAATCTAGTTTGCATTGCTGAATATAATTATTACTCAACTAAATGTTCAGGAGCCAAAAACCATACAGATCTTGTTGCTGCATTGGCTGTTGTATTTGAAGAATTAGAAGCAGGAAAACTCCAACCAACGGTATTGCAATCGTTAGCATATACACCCGTTAGCGTATACACCCGTCAGCTTATATCACAGCTTTAATATTTTTATCTTAGTGCCACAAGGATAACCACTCAAGCTTTGCCAATACAATACGTGAATGTCTTAAATTGGCGAGAATACAAACATCTACGGATTACAATGATGTCAAGGAACACATTCACGATATTTTCAACTTCTGGTTGGGACAACCTCTAGAATGTATGATTGAAATTGGATTATTCAAATTGAAAAGAGACTATTGTTATCATTTGATTGGTGAGTTTTCTTTAAGAACACGCCTGACTTGTGGAAACACTTAAGCAGATGATTTATTATGTTATTCGTTATTAGCCTTTTTTTTTTGTACAGCCACTTCTTCTAATTGTTACAATTTGCTTATGGTCATTATTTAGGAAATGATTTGGTAACCTGGAGCGAATTGGTAAATTGCCAGTCCTAAAAACCTCCCCTCTTAATATATTTCGAATAGTAATCAATGTGTCGTCCCATTCACGCAGGAGCCTTTTCTCGACGCGACACAACAACTTTCGGAGCAAATAGAACGATTGCGTCAGCTTCATCGAATTGTGGAAACGTGGTCCTTTGTCAAACGTGCTTTACCTCAAGTTCCTTATGAGAGCATGCGAAATCTTATCCAGACACTAGTTGACTATTACAAACGGTTTCCTGTAGATGAGATAAACAATCCGCGGGTCCAGACACCTTTATCATGTACAGTGTATCTTCCTAAATACTCCAGTGCCACAGAGAAATTGATTACGGATCTTTTTAAGAGGTAGGATTGGATGACAGTTACATGATGCATATGGAATTCTAATTCTTCTTTAAAAAGCAGTAAGGAGACTATTTTACCGACGTATTGGGAGATGTCGATTAAAGAGGATCTGGCAGAGAAGGCGGGGGAATTAGTATCACATTCAGTCAAAAGATACAACGATATCTTTTTCGTTCAATTCGTTCAATTAGACAAGCTTAATGAAAAACGCGAAACACAGGATGGTATATGATACAATTTTTTTGCAAGGAACGTATTGTCGTTAGTTTGTATCAAAGCCAATATATGTAATCCACTTTCTAATTTTATATGCAGTCATGGAAACGGATGATAATGTCTTCGCTGACACGATGGACGAAGAAATGGCTTTGACTGGAGCAGGGACCGAGCTAATAACGAATAAAAATCACAATTATCAGATGACTGTCGCAACGAGTCAAATGCGATACCGTTCGCAATAAAGAACATACTGTTTTAGCCAATGCAAATCTTTAATGTTTTATTATTAGTATTATTCAAAGAATTAAATAAGATAATCAAATCATCCTGGTGAATATATAACCCGTCATCTATTCAGCTAACCAAGCCTTTAATATTCTTATCTGTTCTATTACAGTTTGCTTGCTCGTTCCTCCCAAACTCGATCTATTCTCAACACTCTTCTCGAAATCCCAGATTTCGGCTATATCTTCTTCAAAGGCTGTGTGAAGTTGTTTAAAGTCAAATAAGGAAAGTGCAGACATCGACGTGTTACGTTCTTCAGCCAGGCGAACTGCAGCACCTGCAATGTGATGAGTCTCACGAAACGGAACCTTGATATCGAGTTGGATTCAATGAGTAATGGAACACATACTGAAGTTCTATTCATGTGTGAATGCAACTTACCCCTTTTCGGACAAGATATTCGGCCAGATCAGTAGCTAACATATCGATACTAAGGTTTTGGCGCATTTTTTGGGGATGGATCTGTAGGAAGAGTAATGTCGTATATTAGGCAAGCTCGAAGATTTAACGTTTACAATAGACTTTTATGTACCGTCAAAGTAGATAAAACGCCAGCTGTGATTTGTAGAGATCCCGACAGTGTTTCGACAGCATCGAATAGTGGTTCTTTATCTTCTTGAAGGTCTTTGTTGTAAGTGCTTGGAAGACCTTTGTATGTCATCAGAAATCCTGAGAGCTGTTGAAATAGCACGACAATGAATCTTATCAATATCGGAATTGACAGTGTTTAAATGAAATTTGTATGAATAACCTCGACTTACTTGACCAAAGACGCGTCCAGATTTACCACGAAGAAGTTCCAGACTGTCAGGATTTTTCTTCTGAGGCATCAAACTGCTTCCAGTACTATTTGGTTATAAGCGTAGTTATTAGACATCAATGCAGATCAACAAATGCATCACGTCTTCAATAGTATCTGCAATTCTCGTTCCTCAAATCTTTCCACCTATACACATACCTGTATGCATCCGCAAGAGTAACAAATCCAAACTCTCCTGAGCTGTATATAATCAGATCTTCTGAAATTCTGCTTACATGTACCATGGCCACAGAAGCCCAGAACAATAATTCGGCTATGTAGTCACGGTCACTGACACCATAGAGACTGTTTTGGATAACGCCACTAAAGCCTAATTCTTGAGCAAGAAATCCACGATCAATATTGAATGGATTACCAGCTAAAGCTCCACTACCGAGGGGAAGAACATTGAGACGATCAATTATTTGTTCCAAACGTTTGGCGTCCGCTTGCCAGCTCCAAGCATAACTGAGTAGCCAGTGACTCCAACGAATTGGTTGAGCACGCTAAAAAAGTAATGGGAAAATATGAGAATATTAGCACACGAACAGGGTCAATTATAAATATCTGCTTATCTATTATATACGATAACCGCATCACAATTAAATAATGTTACCTGTAGATGAGTATAACCAGGCATCAAAACATCTACTTCTCGTTCCGCTCTTTCCACAGCGACCGCAATCAATTGCTTCAAATGCCCTAATAACTTCCTTGCTTCCTCCCGGGCCCAAATTCTCAAATCAGTTGTTACTTGATCATTTCTACTCCTCCCAGTGTGCAGCTTTCCCGCCACACCCCCAACAAACTCTCCAAGTCTCCTCTCGTTCGCTGTATGAATGTCCTCGTCTCCCGGTTTGATTACAAATTTATTAGTCTGCCATTCTTGTAGAACCTTTTCTAATCCATCTACGAGCGTGGCGCATTCGTCGTCGTTTATTATGCCGTTTTTTGAGAGAGCTTTAGCATAGGCTTGCGATCCACGAATATCAGCTTCGTACATTTTTTTATCAAAGTGAATGGATGCGTTGAATGCGTCCATAAGTGGATCAGTTTCGCCCGTAAAGCGACCTCCCCATAGTTTTGCGCTTGTCATAATGCAGAATGTGTTGTTCTAAGTTTCGGTTAGGAATATGTTTCTTTGAAACTCAATTGAGCTCGATGCCTTTATATGTTCCAATTATCTACATCTTGATGTTAATAATAAGCATGCTTGTTAGTATGTGATTAGATCAATACCTGCATCTGATCTTTGATGAGAATTAAGATTATCAGTTATTGCCACAATTAGAGATTGGCTAAAAGCGGAACAGTTTTTTTGTAATTTCATTGGTTGAAATACAAATTTGACCAATATAATTACAAAAATCAGGTCACGTTTCTACTCCGCTTTAGAATTAGATATTAACAATCAATCTATGATTTCATCATCGTAAGATCAGGCAATGCTAATACTGTGTATCATTAAAATCCCGAATTCAATATTTTAGTCCGCATAAAGAACAAATCACGAGGAATAACCAAGCGCAAGATTGATACTGTATGTGGCTTTCAAGACATGTTTTATCTACTGTAGGTTTCTCTTCTCATATTATTTAATATTATCAGATTTTCTTCAATAAAGAATACACTGCGGTAGGTACCTGTCCATGTGCGAATCACTACATATTTCTCAATAATCAATATGCTGTAGAACCACTCCTGAATGCTCATATGTAACCTGCAAGTCCTAGAGCAGATTCCAAGTCTCTGATCATTGAATTCTATATAATGCCATTAGTATTCGCAGTATGCTATATAATCAGAGTCTGTCTTGACCGCCTCAAACTAGCAACAGGGCAAGCAATACTAGCATCCTCGTAATCCAAACAGTGACAGTATAATACTACCGATGTCATTTTCGCATTGGTCAGCTATTTAAATCTTGTTTAGCGTGCAAAAAGGTCAAAAGCATAAACCGAATTGTGCGCCTGCTTGTTTTAACGTAAAGTGATCAGCGTGAGTAATGATAGCGCAAACCTTGTTTGAATTATCTTATCTCGCTTCATTCACGATCGATAGCATAGGGAGACGTGGAAGATATGTACAAACACGTTGTTATCTAATGCATCCATCCACAAGTCTCACGATATAAGGCAACCTTATTTTATCCCCAAGTCGATAAATATTATTATTCTCGGGCTCTCAAACCAGTAACTCTTCTATCGCATACAAAATCTGCTACGTCACTATAATTGTTGATTTTAATGGTGATACGTTGTAGTCACACGGGTATGGGATAAGAAGGGGATATTGAGTTTAGATAAGTATACAGATAAGAACTGTAATTAATAAATAATAGTAATCACCCTTCTCATTTGGTTTGGTTTGTCTTTTGAAGTAAACAGTTCTGTTTTTGGTTTTCTAAATCGACTGAAAACGCGTTTTTGCAGGTTTGCCAAAGAATGGGATAGCGGTTCCACGGGTATCACTAGTGTTACTTTGTTACTGGTGTTTCCCATTTGAGGCAATATTGTGTTTTCCAAGTTCATATTTTGCCATTATATTCAATTTTAACATTCCAATTGCATTACTTCGCTTTCTGTTCTGCGTCGAAACACAACAATGACGAATTTTATGTTACATAATGCAAAAAAGTGTGTTCTTAATAATGTTATACTTTGAAGTTTTAATAATGCATCTGTATCAGTATTTTTTTTTTCCAAGAGTTTGGACATTAGTATATCAGATTACAATCGCATATGAAAACTTATATTTATTATTATAAACATAATAATTTTATCTTTCATCAACATTGGCTTTCTGTTTTGAAAAATGAGTACATGGTAACATGATTAATTTTCTATTAGTGAAACGGTACTATAAGTTATAATGCGATTGACACCATTTTTCTTGACAGTTTTAGGGTTGGTTTGTCGCTGGTAGAAGGTTTAGAGTTGAGGCAGAAGGCCCTTTCCTTCACGTAACGCGCAAATTTTGTTTGCGAATTTTTATCTTTAGATTTTATTTTAAGTTTTCTGCTTCAAGCTTTTTTTGTTTATATCAGCCAAACTAATTGTGAGGAGAACAAGTCTAAGTAAAGAATTCAACATTCTTGTAAATTTGTCTTTATGAAACAAATGATTATTGAACGATTACACTAATCAAATATGCGTGAATTCGTTGCCAGGTTTATAAACTATGTTCGAGTTTATCAAGCATCCCACCAGTTTTTATTAAAATACTGGCTATAAAGGTTGGATTCGATAATTGAATTTAGATACATTGAACCCTCAGAATTATCACTTAGAGCCTTTGTTAAACATGTCGGAGAGCACCTACCCCAAAACCAATTTCGGCTTGGTACTTTTTAACCGTACACAAATCCCATTTGAACTAGTCGATTCACAGATTCACATACACTCGTACCCCGTTTATATCCCTACCCAGTTATATCCCACCCCCGGTTATATCCCCGAGTTTTGTAAAAACAAA